GGTCTGGCCACAGCGTGGCCCCCCTGGCAGAAAGTAATCGCTTGCAGGCACCCGATGGTCAACCAAGATGGTGGGGCAGGGCAGGAGTCACCAGTGGTCCCCAGCAAAGTCAGTCATGCAGCTTGCAAGGGCAAGGAAAGCCTTCCCTCTCTGTCCTGATAGGTGCGTCAGCCTGTTGGTACTTCTAAGAGGTAAAAATGCCGTGGGAGAGCTCCCTCAGACAAGTCTGTAACCAGAAGATTTCATGGGAAGAGAGAGATAAAAAAGGTGATTGAATGAAAAAGAACTCGTATGTCTGAAGTCAAATTCTGCCCAACAGAACACGGGCCAGGAGCATTTGGCTAATAAAAGGAAGACAAACATAATTTTTCCCCAAGGTAAGAAGAAAAACCCAACAGCCCAGCAGAGCTCTGCCTGCAGCACCGGAGCAGAGCGAGAGGGGTGGAAACAGGGACCACGCCACAGGGAGGCGAGTGCCCGACAGCTGGTGACCGCCCCAGTCCCTGTGGCTGCTCCCCGCTGAGGTGCCGCTCGCCCACCAGCAGCCCCTGGCACGCCGTTCCTGCCCTGGGGCGAGGACTGATGGGCTGGCCCGCGGTTCCGGCCCGGGGGCGAGGACTGATGGGCAAGCCGGGCCCTCGCCGCGCGGGGCTGAGCGAGGCCTGGGAGCCCGCTGGCCTTGCCTTTCACCAGGCTGACACAGCGGATCAGCAAGCCACCGTCACCGTGCCTCGACGGACGCGGCCGCTCCTCCAGGCCCCGGCGACAAGTCCTTGGGATCGCTCAGGACCCTTTTGCTGTTCTGTGCGTGCAGAAGGCAGGGTAGTGGTGTGGCAGATCCCTTGTTGCCTTCTGTTTGGGTTTTTTTTTTTTAGGTTTAATTTATCCCTGGAGGCCAAATAGGCCTTGGCAAGAAAGCAGTCTCACACCATCCCACGCAGAGGACAACTGAGCAATCGGAAAAGCCGCTTGTCAAAGAGAAAGGGCTCCTGAAACTTCACTCCTGGCAGAGCTGCCATTTTACCACAAACATTTATACCGTATTTTGACCTGAAAGGAGTCTATCAAGTTTTACATGAAAGACTCAGCCATCTGGCCGCTTCTTCACACTCTCGCACTGGCAGGGCGCTGCACTAGCAGCACACAGCCATGGCTTTTCTCCTTCAGCCACGCACCAGCTGCCACGTGGCATCATAGGGCAAGGGATGTGCCACGGTGGCACAGCCAGAGACACCATCACCAACAGGCTTCATGAGTGCAAGGTCTTCCCACCAGGCACAGCGGGACACCTACCCGACCGCGAGACCTCCAGCGCCCAGGATGTCTTCAGGAGATCCACCTCGTCTGAAACTGGTCCTGCCCCATCACACGGCTCCACCACCAGCAAGACGCCCGGGCTGGGGCTCCGGGCAGGTCTTGACAGAGGGGAGGCGGGATGCAAGCCTGAATACAAGACTTACAGGAAAGTTAGGACTGCGCCAACAACTCACACCACCGGGAGAGGGGTAAAAAGCGGAATGATCAGCTGGGGTGGGGGAGCTTAAAAGAATAAAGAAAAAAAAAATATTCTTGGAATCGTGAAACTATTAATTCCCTGCTGAAGCCAGTGAAACTTGCCGTCTGCGTTTTTATCTGCAATACGTTAAGATGGTTCTCACTTCCTCCCCGCCAAGAGTGCCAAAAAAAGTGTTAATAACTAATGGATATGAGTTGAATATAAATACCATTTAACTTACTACATTTTCTAGTACATACTTCCAAAGCATGCATTACCAAATGCATCTTTAATTTGATATAATCATTAAATACTTTGTCATTTAATACATCCTCATGTGATGTTATCATATATAATATATCTCTATCATCATGCACAGATGACAGAAATACGCACCAGAAAATGTTTTCCCTCTGGAGAAAGAAAAGATAAAGCCCTACAAAAAAGAGCCTCCCAGTTTAAGTGAAAAATCAAAGTAGTTAAAAACAACAGCTACTGAATTGTAAAGTCACTAGTGTAAAAATGTACATTATTAATGATGACATGACCCATAGGAACAGATACACTTGGGTCCGATCTTGCAAAGCCAAGCTCATACACGTCTTTATTCCCCATGCCCAGGATCTGACTTCCTTGCATACTTGTTTGAAAATAATGCTGATATGCACGGGATTAAATATGGGTATGGGCAGCACCACTGCCGAACGGCTCGGGAACCTGTACTCCTGGGGCTTCAGGAGTTATACAGATGGCAGCTAGTGCAAAGTGGAAGGCTGGTTTCCTAACTAATTCCTTATTTTTAAGTATGTCCTTCTCATATGTTTAACATGCAAAAAACCACACATAAAATAGCCCCAAACCCTGTTTCTCAGAGAAATACCTAACTTCAAAATTGAAACGATGGAAACAAATCACAGCTGGGTTTAACAAGGTGCCCTCTCCTGGCCTTTAAAAAGAAGTCGGCTTGCTGTCACCTGGTTTCTTCACTTGGAAGAGGCATCAAAATGAGCATCAGTTTGTGCAAATATTCAATTTTAATACACTGGCCAGAAAAATACCATCACAGACCGTTCTTGATACCGTACAAAACAGATTTTAAAATCCTTCAGTTATGTATGAGTTTATAAAAATAACTTACAACACTATTCTAGAAATCTCCATAGCAATACAGGAATTTGTTACCAGGTAGAAGTTTAGGCATAAGGCATTCTGCCCAGAGGGCTGGAGAATTTACCCCGTATTCACACCGCACTACTAAACTCCTGAGAACCATTTACTAAAGGTAATCTGAACCTTTCTGCTAAAACAGAGGGAAATGAAAAACCAGATTGAAAAGCACATTAATTTCCACTACAAAGAGGCACTTCTACCATTCCTTGATAAATACATATGCAGTTTATCCAACACAAGAGGAATATTCAAGAATTTGATATTTTCCATGGAAATCTCTGTTTTACAAGTATTGTTTTCTTAATTAAATATAAACCAAAGCACAGATGAAACTAAACACAGCTTTTAGGTCACACCTACACAGAAGATTTTTCACTATTGTGTTCTGTAGGTCGGATTGGGGGTTTGTTTGCTTCTTTGTTTTGGTGGGAGTCCTTTGGTTGGGTTTTTTGATTCTGCAGGCCCACTCATCTGAAGGAAAGTCGCACTACTGCTGTGTTCAAAGTGGCCAGTTCAGACCTGAACCAGTGCAGCACACAGTAGCTCATCTGGAAAGGAAGAATTTCTTCAAACTGAATAAAGCTGCACAGAGCTCTTGAAGTATAATTCATTCCAAAGTAGAACTCTGTCTGTTCCAAATTGGATTAATTATAATCACATAAACTGCAAGATAAAGCTAAGAAGATCACATCTGTTTTCTACACACTGTTGTTACAGTTGAAGGGGGGAAAAAACCAACTACCTTTCTGTACAACAAGGCCTTAATAAAAAGTATTCTCCTTTCTCGTCAAGGAGAACGTTTTAACAAGTAAGTTTCTCTAAAATAAATAGTCACAATAGAGTCAGTTTGGAAGCCAAGAAATATGTTACTCTAGATGGTACTAAGCCTTTTTCCAAGGATATGTTCTTCCTCATGATCAAGCATGGAGGTAGAATTTCCCCTCCACAGGCATGTGAGCTGGTAAAACACATGCTCACAAGGAGACAGTGCAACTGCTGTGTTACAACCTAGCACACAGGGGCACTATACAATTATCTGAACTTGTGGTAATGCTCTTCAGTTCTGAAGTTCTTTGTTCAGGTAAGAAACTAGAGAGAAAAAAAACCAAACCAAAAAGAGTTGTTGTCCAGCTGTGCTAGCAGTTCTTCCATCACTGCCCCCCAGACAATGCAGGATTCAGGCTATGACTTCATGAAAGCATCCGTTAAATGCCCTGCTAAGCAACAGCTCGATAGTCAATATCCCCATCACGCTGCTAATCGCCAGCCAACCACCGCAAGTGACCAACTCCCCCAGTGCTCTGCTCCTTAGGACGAGGGAACGCTCCGGGTTAAGATCTACACGTTTCTGCAGACAACCGAGGATGACTTCTCCCAAAACCTTTCTTCCGAATTGCACGAGTCGGCCACTGTGATGAAAGTCAGTCTCTGGCAACAACAGGAATGGGGGGTCTTTAACCTCAGCATCCAGCCTGAAGGGTACTTTCACCAGAACGCTTAGTCACAGTAAGAGTAGTGAATATCTTAAGAGAAAGACAGACAGACAACTTTTAGTATGGCTAGCAGGAATTTGCTCTTCTAGAAGATTAACATGGGCATAATGCTCAAAATCACAGCCATTTCTTAAAGTAATAAAATAATAATGAAAAGCATACATTTTAAATCCCTGCCACTAAACAGCACCCACACATACAAATACCCTTTGTTCTCTTCATTTACTTTATGGTCTTCCTTTTACAGTGGAAAGGAAAGAATTAAGGAAGTCATGTGGCTTTGTACCACCTTTTGTCCTTAGGAGCACCTAATGCTCCTAAGTTTTCACAGTGGGAATGAGTTCAGCAGTAATAAACTCTGGTCTGTACAGCTAATGAATAAGCGTCCTTAAGGCTCAAAGATAACTTCTTTGTTGGGAAACTGAAGTTAACCTAAGGCTACGGCATTTGGAGAAAACAAACTTTGCCTCTGTACCTTTCTAGATATTAGAGAAATATGGAACTGATTGCTGATGTAGGTATTACGTCTGGGATCTGCATCCTCTCAACAACAGCTAAATCTATTAATAGTAAATTCAGTTTGAAAAAGTCCAATCTTTACTGCTTTGAAGTCACATTAAAGAAAACAACATATTCCAGAACAATTATTGTAAAATTAAAAGGTAACAATATTCAGGAAGAAAAATTCTACAACCTTGTTTAACATTAGAACTTTACTATGCAAATAATTGCATAGTTTTGCATAGATGTGATACAGAAAGGGAAAAAGGAAATCAAACCCACTTCTATCTAAATGGTTCAAAGTTGCAATAATGAGCTATCATCAAAGCCATCTTTCAGGAATAATAAACTTAGCACAGAATAAAGTATATACGCGTTTCAGTTATGCAAATAACACTGAAGTATCTAAAGATAATGGGGATCTGAAAGCCCTACAGTTCTGCAAGCAGAAGCTTTGCTGCATTAAGGCTGCTAGCAGCTCTTCAGAGAGCATCATCAATAAATGATATACCTCTTCTGCTTTCTATAAGTATGTAAAGCATTACGCACAAATCAGTAAGACAAATGCATGTCTAACATCTATGGCAGAAGAATAGCAGTATCTTTAAACTATAGCGCATGGCTTGAGACAGGGTTTCTAACTCTTCAGTTCTGATCCACAGACTAACAACATTTTTTATTATTATTTCACATTGAAGGACAGAAATTAAAAAGCACAAAATTTATCTGCTTTCTTCTCGGCCCGATTGCAGGCTCTGGATGTGCTAGCCAGTTCCAACGGCTCCGGGGACCACGCAGCTCCCCAACTCCAGTAAGCCAGCTGGGACTCATTCAATAATTGTTGGAAACATGAGAGGTTTTGGCAGAATTTGTCAGTTATACCAGTGAAGACAAAAGTTTCAACTCAATGACTGGAAAGCCATCATTAGCTAACTCGAAAAATCGTTCCAGCATTCAGAAGACACCTTCTCTTCATCACAGATGCCCGACTATGCACGCCGGTATTTCAAGCAGTGCAGTACAGTCCAGGCTGAGAGGCAATTCTCTGTAAGGCTGAGGTCCTACCAATCTATGCTTACGCTTATTTGTACTCTGCCTCGTGAGAAACTCCATTCAGAATTCAGGCTTTCTGCAGAATAAAATGCTGCTCGAATAAGAGAACTGAAACCTGGCTCTAATTTGTAAGCAGTGAGAAATGGGACCCTCAGTCTTACAGTCTTCTTCAAGTTGAGCAATGCCATGTTTCACAGGAGACTCTTTGAGGAGTGAATTCGTACCAATGCCAGTGAAGATGTCAGCATTGGACCCTGCAACATTGTCCTTTTCACGCTCAGATCAGGCTTCATTTTCCTCAGTTTTAACATGAATGCAAGATAAAAATAATCCTGACATTATCCATCATTTTATTCATCCTGATATGTGCTATCCTCACAAATCCCAAACAATTTTTCAGCATTTTTTTAATCAAAGAGTACCATCTTGCACTTCAATTTTTGTTTACTGCTGAAGAGATTAAATTAAGCAACAGGCATAAAAAACCCTTTTGAAGACTGGCACTAAAAATGATTACTGTTCCCTGGAGCTTTTAAATAGTGTATTCCTCCTGAGCCAATTTCTTCCTCCCCCACTCAAACAAATATGATTATCTGAAATTACCTCCCTAAATTATGTCTAATCATCATTCTATTCAGTTTCAATTTTAGCAGCTCAGATGTCCAGAATAAATTACGACTATCATCCTTTCTTCACACTGCATATGCTAATACCCTGCTTGAGTTCACAGGTTTGAAGGCCTCACTCAGCGCTCCCCCTCCACAGGGCCCCTGGTAAGGTAAGGACCTGCTACCCCTCTCCAAGGGCTTCCAAGAGCACCATTACATGACACCACAGAAAAAGAAAAACCAGAATCTGTATTGTGGATGCTTTGAAGATGATGCAGATTGCTAGCAGTCCATTCCATTAATGGAGTTCATATGATACTGCTTATGTCACTTTAGAAACACGAAACAAGAGAAGCGGACTTCACTTCTGCAGGCCACCACCCTGCTGCTCTCCAGTGAACTTTGTAGCTAACACATGCAGGTGAAAACACAGACTCTGTACAAAAGGTCATACACTGCTTTTGCATGGATCCTCAGTTCCTATAACTGGTCCTAATACTACTGAAATCAGTGGAACATCTCTGATGTATACATCGGAGGAGCTGTCCCCCACCCACTAGAGAAAATTAAGCCCTTTAATGAAGAGAAACAGTAAGACAAACACAAGAAACAAAAATGGTTGCATAGCCTTGCGTACTTCACTTCAAAAGTGGAGCTCTAGAGAGTAAAGGAGAGATTATTAAAAGGGTAGAATTTAATAGAAATAATCGTCATGTAGCTGGTCCCCTTCCATAACACCAGTTTATAAGCCTATTTTGAGTACACATATCTAAAAAAAATTAGCTTTGACAACCGCTTTAGCAGAAATAGTATTCAAAGCCTCCATAAATGGATCTTCGAGTGGGAGGAAAATTCTATACTTCCCAGTAGAGGGAGCACTGGATTAGAGGAAACCATAAACATTTCACAAATTAACACATTAAAAAAAAATGCCAGATTAAACCTAAATGTTAGATTTCTAAATATTAAAATCAGATAATTTCCTGTCCTTCCCTCCCTCCTACATTTCCCCGAATTCTGACCTCTTTATTAGAGCTCTGCTACTCAGATTTCCAGCACCTTAGCCCAGAATGATACGAAAGCTGGGATATGAGGTGATTTCATGTACAAACCTCTGCACAGACGGGGTGAATTCCTATGGTGCTATCCAGCTGCTCTTTGGTCAACCCACACTTAATCGCAGCTGCAAACCCTTGGGTGACTTCTCCAGCATTTGGACCAAGGACATGGAAACCAATGACCCTCTCCTAAAAACCAAAGGTAACCAAATACAAGGACAGTCATGCCTTTTGGTCTCTTTCGATAACATGCAAGATTTTCTTACTCAGAGTATTTAATTTCATCCGTTCACAAAACATACCACAAATTAATGTGACCACACAAATGTGAACTATCATTAGCACCAACAGATGGGAGATAATGGGTATAATTTTGTTCTCTCTCCGAGAAGGAAAACATTCAACTAGGAACTCAAGAATCAGCTTCCTTACAAAGTTTTGTGCAGGAGGCCTCTGTTTACACCAACAGCATACAAATTTAACACACCCCATGGTCTACATTTGATTACAGTGTACGTCCAAATTGCAAATAACGCAGTTAAATTTAATTCTGGCAAGCTATTCCACTCATTCCAACAGACTTCTCTAAGAAAAGTGAGTCTCCTTTAGCAAAGGCCAACTGCTGTGGGCCTCAGCAGCTTTCAGGGCATTAATTAGATTTTGCTGAGCATAGATATAGCCCAGTTGGGTATCAGAAGTTATCTGCTCCTCCCGCTAAGTATCACATCTAAGGGAGCATGGATACTCAGTACACTGAAAGGTTATTTTTCTTTCAGTAAGCCTGAGGACTGAGATTTACCACAGGGTTTATTTAAATAAGAAAAGCTATAATTAGGTAATAACTAAAATGGAATCACCCTTATTTCCCTTAAAAATATGGACATATGCAAAAATAAAACCATAGTAATGAAACTGAGGTAACTAAAGTTTTAAATAGTCACTGCACTATTTTTTATCCAGGGTAACTTTCAACTCTACCCCTAGATGTTTAAACATGTTCCAAATTTTCAGGACAAGAAATGGAAACAAATCAATGAAAGGACCATTAAACCTTTTCATTTTCTTGCATAACTTTGGATTAGGAACATAACCATGGGTTCTAAAATAGCTTCCACACTAGTGCATACTCCTCCAGAAAGAGGAGATGGCAGAACCAGACAGGTTTGCAAATTTTACAAAATCGTGAAGTGATGCTTAGCAGGGCTGCAGGAAGATAAATCTGATGATAAAAGAAAACAGGTCAAAAAAAAATTTAGGACTGATAACTCTATGCCACTATCTTAACAGGAAAACATTTTAACAGCATATTATTCTTCATAATGGTTCATGTTATTAAAATCAACTAAATTTTTGTTGAACAGATGATGATCATTCAGAGAAGGGCATACCAATTCTTTTAACCAATCAGCGATTTTGCTTGCGCTTCAGCAGGTACTGTACATTTCCATTGCCAGGAAATTTTATCCTAGTCCAAGGATAATCCTCGCATTATCACTCTAAATGAGATTTGTGCCGGCAAGATACATTAATCCAGTTAGAACGAACTGAGGAGTTTTACAGACACATGTGGATTTGCAGAGGTTACAAGAAGTGATGGTTTCTGAGGGATCTCAGTTTCAGAGAGAAGAATCTCTCAGCAAGGAACGTCCCAGTTTGGGGAGGGGAGAACAGGATAAACCAGTAAGACTCCTAACCATTTTTACATGCACTGATTTGCTCGCTTTTCAAAGTTAATGAAAGTCTTAGAGATCTCTACTTCTTATTTTACGTACACAGAAGTAGTACCATATACCAATAGCAATGGCAGAATTTTCTATTTTACTAAGGGCCATTTTTGTATAAACAAAAGTAACATATCACTATAAATATTTATTACATTTCAAAAGGTAGAAAAACCTAAATTAAAATTGTTAAAAATAACCTATTTATAGCTGTGGTATCAATGGTCCCTATAATATGAACATATAGCTGCTGTTTTCCCTGGAAGGAAAGATGCACTTACGCTGTCTTGAATATTGCAAATTATCTTCGCATAGCATTTGTTGTTGTCTCTGGATGGCACAGTCCATTCCAGTGGCCAGAAATGACTATGGTACACCTGGAAACATAACACAGGTTAAAAAAAATAGTTGTATAATTTCACAGATGAATCCCAAAGGAGAAAGCCTCTACGAAATAAGCACTAGTGTCATCCGATAACTGAAAAAAAAGAAGCCATAACTATATTACACTTCCAGGATGCAGTTCACCATGCTCTCATTAAACTAGACAACTACAAGCGTCCCTCATGGAAAGCTGTATTGTCTCTGGGTCTACCTGGAGTGAAGACAGAAATATTTCTCAGAGCAGAAAAAACAGAAGAAATAGCCTCAGAGCCTGGGTTTAGGACAGATGAGATTATGTATCACTGCAAAATGGAAAGTGCATTAAAAAAACCAACACATTTTCCTGTCTGCCCAAACCAGCATCACTGGTCAGATTCCGAACTGCAGACAAGGCTGTTCGCCCACCTGTACAGCACATATCTCAGAAAACGACAGAGTATTTTGAGGCACAGCTGTACCCAGAACTCCCAACAACTCCCACTATAAACTAATCTCAAATTGATTACTATTTGAAATAAATTTTTAATTGATCACAACTCCAGTAAAAATATGTCCCTTCACAAACTGGGAGAGACAGCTCAATGTTTTTCCATATTAATGGGGTTACAAAGCGTTTACAAGCATTGCTATCTGAAACTGAAATTTAACAGGTGTGAATGACAGATGCAACTCAATAATCCTACTGAAGCTTGCAAAAGCAAAATCCAATATGGTGACATGATAAAGAGGTCAGAGTAAACTAAATTAGGACTTAGCCAGAACACAAATGCTTCTAGATGCACGTTTTTAAAAACTATTTTGAAAACTGGAAGTGTGTTTCCCACAAAGAAGTGTCCAGTGTTTCACATGTAACAGCAAGAATTTGACTCAATAATAAAAATTTGGCTGGGTATCTACAAACTTGGTTAGCAGAAAAGAATTTCAGCCTTTGCCCTATAGTTAGGTTAACAGTACTTGACACACTGCCATTTTAAGTCATATTTACTTCTTTTCTCCACAGTCTAATTAAAAAAAAAATGTAATTGACAAAGCTAAGAGGGAGACAAGTTCTCAATTTCATGAGCCACCACTTAGTTACTTATTTCCCAAAACAATGCTCCTCAGGTGATCTTCACGGGGCACAGAAGTTCAGCTTGTTGTCAGACTCCCTTCCTTCTTGCTTTCTGTAAGGTGGCCAGTACAGCATTTTGTTAGCACAGCCTCAGGCACTAAGTACTTAATGTATGGCCAATTTCACTCTTGACCGGCAAGCCCAGTGAAAGGAAAGGGATTACTCACGTGAGTAGTTATGGGCATACCTCCCTGCATAGTCAAAATAAACAGCAAAAATGAGCATAACATTTGCCTTTATAAGGTAAAAATCACCATGGCAAGAAATTTTTCACACCATAGCTAAAAAAAGCTCCGCTTTGACATTAAAACCAATGTATTGCTTCCAGCACACACCCAGCTTTAATTTATCCTGAAGTAGTTGCAGACACAAAGAAACTCTTTTTTTTTTTTTTTTAAGCAAATATTCCACCTTCAAACCCTGTTTGCCAAAAATAGAACATATTTGCAACTAGAGCTATTGGAATTGGGGACTATTTTTATAACATGTCTAGAACTACCAAGGAAGACAAAAATGTACCTGGTCACCTCCTGCCCTTACATCAGAACACGGAATGCTGTTTTAATTGACTCTTAACAATATTACATTAAAATTTTAAAATAATGTTAACTTAAAATAATGTTAACTTCAACTTAAAATCCAGATGAAACTAAAGGCATTTACCTCAATGTTTTCCTCCCCAAACTTCTCCACCGCAGCCTCTTCAGAATACCCACAGGCTCCATACTCCAAAGGAGTGAACACAGTGGTTGGAACATTCACATAGTCACACTGTGTGGCATTCAAAACAAACAAACAAAAAACCCCACACATCATCAGTAATAAAATCAGCACAATGGGTTAAAATTCAGCACCCTGAAATTCAGACAGGAAGAAAAGTCAGATTATTCATAATTCTGGAAGCTACTTTTTAAAAGAGATTTGTTGAAAATTAAGCTACAGTTTTGGTTTTGTCCCTCTCAGAGGTGTTAATTGGAACAAGAACAGAAAGACAGTTTAAAGCCACACTGACATTAGCATGCATAGATTAAAACGAAGAGGAAATTCAGTGCCCTGTTTTAAAATGTTCCAGATCACAGAGTGCACTGGAGATAAAAAGTAGACTGTTCAACTGCTTCTACAGAGCATGCTATTTTTAACAGAGAATGCTACAAAGACAAAACCACCGTCCAAAAACTATGATCTTTTTATCAACTGTGGCCTAGGAGGTGTCAAAGAACCAGACATTTGGAGGGGCAGCTACAAATAGAGCTGATACTGTGTGCCCCATCACATACCACGAAAGGCAAACACTGACCCCTGACTTCAGTGGAGCTTTGGAGTGTCCTAGAGACTCACTCTCTGGGCAACCTGCTTACGCTTGACCACCCTCACTGTAAAGAATTTTTTTCTTACGTTTAAATGGCATTTTCCTGTGTTTCAGTCTGAACCCATTGCCCCTTGTCCTTGTACTTTACACAACTGAAAAGTCTGGCTCCATCTTCTTTACTCTCTACCATCACGTAGGAACACACATTAATATAAGAGCCTCCCAAGCCATCTCTTCTGCAGGGCAGAAAAAGTCCCAGCTGTCTCAGCCTCTCCTCATGTGTCAGATGCTCCAGTCTCTTAATCACAGTCATGGCCCTTTGCTGGATTTGCCCTAGTACGTCCGTGTCCTTCTTGTACTAGGGAGCCCAAAACTGGACACAAAACCCAAACCTGTCTCACCAGTGCCAAGTGGACAACAAGAGATCACTTCCTTCCACCTGCTGGCAATGCTCTGCCAGGATGCATCTGCAGGATGCAGCCCAGGATGTCACTGGCCTTCTTTGCTATGAGGGTACATTGCTGGCTCATGGTCAACTTGTCCTCCAGACCCCCTGAAGCCTTCTCTGCACAGCTGCTTTCCAGCTGGTGGGTCCCCAGCCTGCGCTGGTGCATGAGGTTACACCTCCTCAAGTGCAGGACTGTGCAATTCTCCTTGCTGAACTTCATAAGATTCCTGTCAGCCCATTTCTCCAGCCTGACAAGGTCCCTCTGAGTGACAACACAACTATCTGGTGCATCACTCACCCCTCCTAGGACCGTATCATCTGCAAACCTGCTGAGGGTGCACTCTGTCTCACCACCCAGACCATCAATGAAGATGTTCAACAGCACTGGACTGAGTATCCAACCCTGTGGCACACCACTAGTGACCGGCCTCCAGCTGGTCTTTGGAATGTTGGTCACAGCCCTTCCAGCCTGGCAGTTCCACCGATCTTCAGCCCACCTCCATGCCCACTTACCTAGCCTGTACTTCATCCGCTGGTCTATAAGAATGTTATGGGAGACAGCATCAAAAGCCTTACTAGAGTCAAAGTAAACAACATCCACCGCTGTCCCCATTTCCACCAAATTAGTCATTCTGTCATAGGCCAGCAGGCTGGTCAGCTCTATTTAATATGCAGTAATTCTAATTTCTATAAATTTCAACTCTAATTTATTTCATTTTTGACTGAGGAACTAAGATGCTGCTTACTGTTCTTTCCCCAGCTATCTATAACACATCGTTATGTTTCATACAGTCACCTGGATTTGTCAGAACGACAATGTAAGCCAGGATCCCATCTAAGCAGTTACTCATTTACTGGATTCACTGAAAGAGATGATGCTTTCTTTGGCAGCATGAGAATTTTCGTACCTTGAGAGACAGCTATCTGGCATAAAATGTAAATTAAAACATATCCACAGCACTGCAGCAAGAAAAAAATTCTGGCTCCAGCTATGGTTTTCTTAAACTTTGCCTGGCTGATGTAATGACATCATGCACACTGATTCAGGATTCTGCTACCACAATACCTGCCAACTTAAAATAAACAACTCAATCAAGCTCTAAATCTGACCGACAGCTGAACTTGATATGAATACAGCAGGCTCTGAAAGAGAAAAATCTTTATGCTTATGCCCTATGGTTATGAAGGCGAGACAAGCACCCACATCAATGTTGCTTGGATAACAGCTCTTTAAAGGCACTCTCCTTTCCTCCTAATTTACAGATAAGGTGTAAATGAGTACCTGTGTTACTCCTATTTGGACTAGTGTAACTTGAATGAAACCTACAATTGCACTAGTATGAAATGTAAACACCAAATTCATGAATTCAACATCTCAGGTGTAAGTACGTGCTGACTTACTGGTACATTGATCTTCCTTTGTGTCTATATTCAGTTACAAGCAGAACTATATATTACATTGAAAACAAGGATGAGAAGTGAAAAAAAAAAGGGTAAACAACACTGAAAACGAAGAGCATCACAGATCCTTTTTACACTCTATTTAGGGACTGTACATAGTTTAGTAAACTGCCCATGAATTAGAGTTCAAGCATTTAATGGGATGGGTATGGTTGCTCACTTTTAGCTCGCTTTTAGGGAAGGCAGAACAAGTCAAATGATCTCAGTTCATTTTATTATCGTTACACTCTGAGAGAAAAATAAAACCTCTTAATAGGAAAAAAAGAGACTGCTGCTTAATCCATAAGGTATTAATTTCATCCCACACAATTAGCAGAACATATCTGCGTAATATCTTTGCCAGGGGAAAATTACAGTGATCATCAAAACTAATCCTTAAAAGCCCACTGAGTTTTCCATAAACAAGCAGACTTGCACTCTGCACTTAGAAGTAGAGCAACGACAAGTCTTTTGTGGCAACTGGTTCCTTACCTTACTGGTTGCCCCAGCATAAAGCCTTTGAACTAACAATCTTCCTGCCTGGATTGCCACTGGTGTGAGTTCCAGCTTGTCCTGCAGTATATCTCCAACAGCATAGATATATGGCACGTTTGTTTGCTCCTCATCACTGACAGGAATTTTTCCTGTTCTGCAATTTGAAATAACAAGAAAAAAGATGTAAATGTTCTGCTATAAAGACTGGAGGTGTCTATAACCTTGCAGGAGTTAGGCCCTTTAGCTTTAAAAGAAAGACATGTATTTTAAGTATGAGGGAGAGTCATATTCACAATCTTACAGTCTTGGGCAAGAGTGTAAAATAGTGCAAATTTGACCAAAACTACAGGAATTTACACATTGGATAAGGATGTAGCCCATGAAGTTGCGATTCATCTCCTGAATCAATTCTTTGGTGAGACATAAATCCTTTCCTCAAACACCCTCTACTACCAGCTGAGCTGTGTACTGGCAACCTTGAGGAATGACAGGCAGAGATATTCTCCCACTCAAGGTGCACGACAAAAGAATTTCTCCACTACTGAAATTCCAGTCTAGTTTCTATGAACTTACCCTTCAGGCTTCTACACAGAGACAGGTCAAGCTCTTAGACACTCTACTTAAGGGACAGCCAGCATGCTTTTAAGCTACAAGTGTACTGAGCTAATGGAAGTTTTTAATTATTAATACTTCCTACTTCATTAATAAATGAGATAGTGCAGTAATCACTGCAGGAAACACATGTAACAAGGAAACCTAATCAGACAGGCACAGAAACAGTCACACAGTTACTTGAGGGACCAGTCGCAATTCCCATACTAAAATCCAACTTCCCCAATGTTACTCTTGTTAACAAATATACCGTTTATGCTAATAACTTTATAGTTCATTCTATTAAGCTAGTAATAGGTTTCCGATGTCAGAAAGATGTGTACTGTTCTACAAGACAACATGGGTCTGCCAATTCTGAGTGGAACTAAACTCCCACTTATTTAGAACATCGCAACAGCTCCCTTCAGCAACATCAATCACTACATTCACATATAAGCTGCCCTCTGCACTGTTCTTCCATAGACTGCCAAGTCAAGTTCAGGTCCAGTGTCTTTCCTTCAAAAGGAAGATTGTCTAGGCCCCAGTATTAGTATTTAGTTACCAATATTGAAAACATTACCGATAGCTCCACTCCCTGGTGCAACAACCTCACTACATTAAACATGAAACGCTCCTCTACAGAGCACAGATTGTTCCCAAGGGTTGCTCTAAGGCCAGAAATAAAATCTTCCAAAACGTAAAATACACTGCCAACTCCAACTGAGTTTAAGGAACGCTACTTTGACCTTGTATTTCAAAACAAACATACAGTAGCATTTACATTAAAAATGTAAACAAACCCCACCACACTAAAAGCCTGTATGAACAAACAGATCTCTGCCCCAAGAGGTGGCAAAGATAAAAACAAGGAGATGGGAATAAGAGAGTTCGAGCAACAACTGCCTGATCCTAGAAAGCCCAGTCACTGGGAGAAGCTGCGACTGACCTGTGAACCTAGACAGAATGGAACAGACACTTTTGACTCCCAGCATTTAGGAACTGACATTTCAGCATCAAAAAAGCAAACGTGGCAGTACTATGGGAGAAAATGCAGCTATCTGCTACACAGTCTCCTGTCCAAGCATACGCAAACGGAAAACAAATTTTTCCTCCAAGTGTTTGAGTGTCTATGCACCACTACCATTGCAACAGTAAATGATACGAGCTCAGTAGCCAGTGGCACACAGACATCTGTCCTTACTTTTCATTGATCTTCA